ATTTATAAAATTTGCTTGAATTATCTTCTAAGTTCATTATTATGAAATTTTTTGAATAATTTTACATTGTTGAAAATACTGATTTTGTTTTTTTGATGAATATTAAAAATTCAAACTAAAAAATATCTTTATAAATTAATAAAATATTAATTTATCGATAAATTAATAAAATTTAAGAGTCCCAACATTATTAATTTATAGAAGTTTTACTGTAGTACTCTTCTACACTCCTGGTACCCTGAAATAGAGATCTAAACCTTTTTAATAAATCTCTATGGTAATGAGGAGGTACATACCTTCTCTTTAATTCAAACTTTGTGTATGCCCATCTTGTTATTTGAGGATATCTGAGCCTTCTCTTCTCAGCCACTTCTCTGTCCCACCAAGCTAGTGCATGAGCATTGAGGCTGGCAATTGCTAAGGCAATTTTCTTGGGTTCAGTGTAGGCATAATACTCGAACAAGTTCTCCATCCTTCTCTCCCACTCCAAGTAAGCAGCAGGATCAAATTTTTCAGCAAAGGTTGGTGCAAGCAGCTTCACTTCTGGTGGTAAGTGTCTATCTTCATTATAGGGTCAGTTTCTCTCATTGTTCCTTCTGTTTAAAATTTCTCGAGCCTGTTGTGCAAGGCCTGGTGCTGGTGGTGATACATCAGGGGATCCTCTACACGATTTTCATCTTGTTGACCTCCAGGAATATTTCTTCTTGGCAAAAGAGAAGGTGGCCACTCAGGAGTTTCTATCCTTTGCATCCTTGTGTTTAGAGATGTGAGATTCTCATTGATGGCTGCGAATTGGGTCTGAATCATCGCCATCATTGCTTGTAGAGGGTCTGCTGGTGGTACATCTCCCATTGTACCTTGCAAAATTTCAATCAAAACAAATCAAAGACAGGTTTTAAATGAAAGCAAACAAGAACAACAAATTTAACAGTTTTGACCAGTTGAGGGAAAACTGTTTTAAAAATTTACAAATGGTCTCTTAATTTAGGAAAACTATTTTTTGTTGTTTTTAAGAGTTTAATAAAGCTGAATCAGAAGACAAAATATTTTTTTTTTGTTTTTTATGAATTTTATTAAATTTTGAGCAAAATAATTCAACGGAAGAACAATAAAACACTTTTTATGATTTTTTTTTTTTGAGTTTATATGAAACAAAGTTCAAAAAATGAATGAAACAAATTGCAAAAACTTAAGATAGGAATTAGAAAACACCTGGGATAAGAGCTTTGAGCTCTGATACCAATGATACAATACTTGAAATGGGGTTGAAGTGATGCTTCTTGAAATCATATGCTTAGAAGCTTAAGGATGCTTGAATGACTTGAATGGTGGAAAAGTCAGTTGATGCTTGAACTCCAAACACCAAGAGTTTAGATTCTCTTACTCAAGGGCTAATCCTCACGAGAGCTAAGAGTTTCTACACAATTCTTCAAGGCTGATTCTACAAACACTTAGAAGAAAAGAAGAAACAGATTTTGAATACAAAGACTTTCTTTGAAACAAATGATACATGATTTATAAAAATGATTGGTGATTGACAAGTACAAAGTGAATGAGCTTATATAATGCTCAGAATACATGAATCAAACGGTCATAAGTAAAATGAAGCAAAAATCAAGTTGAATGATGATGATCTTCTAAACTAGCCGTTTGGCTTCTTGGTGTGTTTTCTTAACTTTGATGCTGAATGGGGGATTTCTTCTTGGTCTTTGGCACGAAATAAGTGTCTTGAATTTTCTAAGAATGATGAATGGTTGAGATTGAAATAGAATGATAATCTTTGGTCGTTGATCTTGATTTGGTATAAGTGATGATCTTCAAATGAGGTAAGCCTCTCCTTAATGTAGTTTCCTTTGACTTCTGATATAATGGGGCGAATAATGGCTTGTTCTGGTGTGGTAAGGCTTGTGTGGGCTTCTGTGGACGTGGTGTGGGGCGAATATAATGTGCCAGCATGGCATATATTCGAGTTTCCTTTGTATATTTGCTTTGATGTTCCAACGGCTCCATTTATGGAAGGTAGCGGTTCTTCTTTGGTTTGCTCCATATAACTCCGGTTATTGGCTTGTAAATTGGCTGGTTTCTCTTCTAAATACTCCAAGAAATAAGGAAAAGTCGTGCTTTCCTTATGTAGCTGGTCATATGTGAATATAGGTCCAATTATATGTCTGAGGCGGTTTAGATAGGATGTCTTGCTCTTTATATTGAACCGGTTCGCCCTTGGATTGATTAAACTGGTCCTCTTGATGGTTAGAACGAAGCAGCTGGTCCTCCTGATGCTTAAAACGTTTCCGTTTGAAGACAATATCCGCATTGCTTTCAGCTACAAGTTCTCCAATCCCCCACGGCTACAAGCAGCTTTGCTCCATCCTCTTTAGCTCCAAGGCTCATCTCTTTGTTGAATCCTGATGTATAAGCATCCAGGCTTACATCATTCTACCTAAAGTAGATGTCCCGCTTGCATTGGTACCACATCGCACGTCATTTGGACCTGGTATTTGCCCACGCTAAACTGTACGGTCATTTGCTCGAAACTTTTAAGCTCGGTTTGATCGTGGAGCCATCTCATCTTTTACGGCCTTGGTTGCTTGCTCCTTTCAAGACCAGATGATATAAGACTAGGTGGTGAGGCTTAAAACGCAGGGTTCAGATAGTGAATGATGGGAATAACACACTGGCTTTAACGCTCTCTTGTGTTACTCAAGGGATGGTGATGGTATGACAAGACTTGGTCTCAAAGACTTGAAGTTGAAAAGGATCTATCAAGCTGGCTATAACGCTTTCTCTTGAGGGATCAAAGAGTGGAGAAGGCAGTGGATCGATGGCACCACGTAGATAATGGATGGATCTCTGATACAGCAAAACACTCGAGTCTTGGTGAATCACAAGCGCAAGAACACAAGCAAAGTTTCTTTGACAAGCGGCGCTTGAGCAAGGAAGAAAGTTTGGTCTTTATTAATAAAAAGTTTGGTAACCAAAGATACAGTGCTGCAGGGTAGCTTTATAATAGCTCGTCAGCTAGCCCTAGGGCCGAAATAAAAGCAAAGAAACGACAATATAAAGCAAAAGAAAATATATAAAACGTATAAGGCAAAAACACATGAAAATGGAAAGTTCCCTTAATCTAAAAAGAAATAAAAAGAACTACGCCAAACTTCTTAGGCTTCACTTGGGGCTCGAACTGGAGGTCCCAAGACGTGCTAAGAACTGTTGGGACAAGTCACACTACATGCACAAATATTATAAATTGAATATACATGTTTTAGGCGCGAAGTGGCTTTGGTAGTAGTTGGCTTGGTTGAGCTTGGTGTAGGTCCAACTTGGGCGGTTTATTTGGAATTGATATCTTCATACGTCCCACTGAAATTGAAATGATAGAGTTCTCCTAACGTCTCTTCGTGGTTTCTGCTTAAAACGTCTTCATGCTCCATTTGCTCTTTATCGGTTATTGTTGTTGTATTTGCGGTATCTTGGAGCTCTGGTACGATCTCGCTGAGATCCATGATGTTTTGATCACCATTTTCTGCCAAGTAAACGGGCATACCTTGGTTTGTTGGTGGATGATCGTCTTTGAGGCTCCAATGTGCAAAATCCTCCAATATGTATAGTTCGGGTGCTTTGGCATTAGCATGCAATTTGTCACGTTCAGATGGTGCATGAAACTGGTCTCTGAGTTCCATATCATTAGGGAGGGTCTCTACTGCTTTATTGAACCCTCCCCTGAGTCGTATGGTCTTTGATCGAGTCACTGGGGTACTAGTAACCATTAGTATAAGTTCTATATCTTCAGGTGAGCTGATGTCTTCATTACTTTTTGAATGAAAGAGTTAGTATGAATGGGAAAAATAAAGTTGATCTTGTTAAGAAAATCCATGAGAAAAAATAATTCAACATTGAAACAAGAACAAAAAAAGTATGAAAAACAAGCAAACAAAGGAAGGCGCAAAGTAATTTTTGAAGTTGGAGATCTAGTTTAGGCACACTTGAGAAATGAATGTTTTCTAGTTGAAAAAAAATATAAACTCATGCCAAGAATCAATGGTTCATTCAATGATTTGAAGAAAATCAAGAAAAATGCCTATCAGATTGATTTGCAAGGTAAGTACAATGTGAATTGATGCTTTAATGTTTCTAACTCAGTTCTCTGTTGCCGATAAACAACATTTGAAGACAAATATTTTTCAAGGGGGGGGCCTTGATGTGATCATGAGAAATAACAAGGATGATAAAGTGGAAACTGAGCTTGAACTTAAGGATGCAATGCTTGTACGAGAAGGACAAATTATTCAAGAAAGATTATTTGTTCCCGATAAAATGTAATCTGATTTGAGCGTCGGAAAACCTTCAGAAGAGAACCCCCTCCAGGTCTCTGAAGGCCCAGCTTATCCGTTTTATGTTTGCAGGATTCAATCAATTTTTCACCCCGAGACACTATCGCTCATCCCCTAAAAAACGAATACGAAAAACTTAGCTCATCAACCCAGAAAAATATACCTTCTTTAAGCAATCTGTAATTTACTCCTAGATATATATATATATATATATATATATATATATATATATATATTCACTATATTTCAAAAGATATTATAATTCTTTTTAGAGAGCTTTAGAACGACAAGGAACACATACATCTTGTTGTGAGACCGAATTATACAAATTAAATGCGATAAAAATAAATCATAAACCTGTTATAGATATATTTCGATGTGATTTTAAAGATAGACATCCCGTCTTATATATAGATATGATGATAGGGTTCCAAGATCATACAATATATGCCTATAGTGAGTAATATATATATATATATATATATAACGTTTAGACATATAGTTGTCTTCTCAGCACTTGTTCCATGGTACTTCAAAGCTGCAGCACTTATTATCATACACCCCGAGACTAAAACAAAGAGATAAAAGTAAACTTTTATAAGTTTACACTAAATATAATTTATAACTTTGGTGAATATTTAAAACAATGTGTACAGAGCACTTACATAATTAAGCTAGCTTAGCTTGCTTGTTGCTCTCCAACATTAGACCGAAGTGAATATGAGGAAAGTGGGCCCACTACCAAATGTGCAACCAAATAATAAGAAGATTACTTATTAAATTAATTAGTTGTATATTTTTGCAAAAAGTTACTAAATTTTCTTATCAAAATGTAAGAGGTACGTACTCCGACCTGTATAAAACACCTATGCATACAATAATTATAGGGATAAATAACGTAAATACAACACATATACATACTATAATGCTATTACATCCATACACCATAGTGATGTCTGATGTGAATGGCAAACCATTTTAATAATTTTTTTATTATCCATACAAATAAGATATATAGACAAATATTTGTAAGTGGTCGTTCTTTCTATGATTTTACATGGAACTTTTAAAATAATATGAACCTCAAAATTTAAAATGAAGACAAAAATATTTTTATATATTTAATTTATTTTGGTAGATAACATTAAAAAAAATTACATCAAAAGTTTACTTGTTATATGTTACCGATTAGACTTTAGCATTATATTAATGTTTTTGTTCACTTTTCAATTTACTATATACTTGAATAATAAAATTATTGAATATAATTACTAATAATTATTATAAACTTAAATAAATATTAATATTTTTATTTCAAAAGTTAAGAGATAGTAATAATATATATAAACAATGGTTAGATAAATATTTAACGTTTATACACAAAGCGTTAAAATATATTTTTTTTTTGCAGCAGCGGCGTTAAAATATAATATTATTGCACTATTATACCAATAGACGGTAAGTACTCGTAATACCGTAAGAGAAGTTGAAGAGAACCAAATTCGGTCAAGTCCTTACCAAATTATTTAAAACTCATTCATTTATTCTTTTAGCCACAAACAGCTCACATTTTATAAACAAATCTGAACACTTGCTTTAAAAAATATAAAACTTACATTTTTGGCGGCGGTGCTGAATGCTTCTCTGTGGCTTATGTCTGGATTATTTGCCTTGATTCTCTGGATTTCCTCTCTTCACAGTTTATAATTTTAAAAACACAAGTCAATCACCCTTTTTAGCATATTTCGAGCATTAGAGACATTATTATATATTTATATGTATATCTAAGAACTTTTTATTACTTTATGAATTGATTGTACGCTGAAGGTACTCGCTGCCTCTTCTCTGGAGCTGAAAGACAATATAAGAAATATAAATAAATTATTTTGTATGTATAATCCTTTACTTCTATATATAATAAAAGTGTCACATACGACGGTTTACAACTCTTTGCTCCGTAATGGTACGAGTTGAAATTCTGGAAGGGATTTTGGTGTGGCCTCTTGAGGAAGATCCATACTCTGGCATTGCATAGTTTGTTGCCTATTCCATATTTCATATTTAATATTGATTAATATAAAAATATAAAATCCTACTTTACTTTTAGATAACTCAAATTTTTCAAACCAAAAATGATGAATCAAAAGGATTGAGTAGTAATCATGTATGAATGGCCTAATTTAGGAAATGAAGAGAGAAATACAAAGTGGACCAACTAAAAGACGTTTTTTTTATTAAATTGCTAAAGAGTAGTAAAAGACAAAACCTTTAAAGAAAGGAATCTGAGAATATATTTTGAAAATAAAACAAAACAAACATATGAAACCCTAACATTCATGTCAATCAAATCATAGAGGAAGTAGCCCACATCAGTATACAGATCAAAACATAAGCTAGGGCTCTATGAAAAAGCAATTATGGAAAAGGCTGCCGATATCAGTCACAGCTGGAAAAAGAAAACTAAATAAATTTGAAAAACGGAAAAAGATTTAATCATGTAATAAATTTATTTGGGGCTATGCAGATGTAGACGGCGGCTGTAGACAGAAACATGCAACAAGAAGCTCAGATCTCTGTCTATATTCTTCTTTCAAGACAAACAAAAGAGCCCTAAATTTAAGAGGGGTTGTCAAGTTTCTTTACAATAAACCTCTAAATTTTATTTAGGGAATTGCAGAGAGAGAGAGAGAGAGGACCTGGAAATTAGGGCGTGAAAGCGACTGAAGAGCAGCTGCCATGTTTACAGACCACAGATTGGTGCAGTGGCCGCATCGGACGGTCACGATGTCGAACAGACTGCTGCTTGGGACACTCACCTTCACATTTTAACCAAAACAAAACCTCATCAATATTACTGATTCGCTTCTTTTCTGGGGTATTTGGGTTTTTCTACCCAGATCCATTAGATATAGACCGACAAAAAGCTTATATGATCATCATTCGTTACAACCTAAAGAAATTATATTGATTTTACTGTTAATATAGATCAGATATTCTCTTATGATTGTGGGCTGGCTAGGCAAAAAAAAAATCGCAGTGAAATTAATTCGATCAATTTTTTTATAAAACAAAACTAGTTCCATGAGATAGATGATCATTTTATCTTTCTCATGATGCACAATCTGTTATAGATTAATGGGGAACACAAATGCATGACCATACAGAAAACTTTTATCTTGTAATTCATAACTTAAATTATAAGTTTCTATTGACCGAAAAAAAAATTATAAGTTTCTTTAAAAGCAATAAAAGAGATGAGATCATAAATCTATATGAAGGGTGGAAAATGTCATGCATAGCAGAAGGATGGTGACTTCTCTCTGGCACCATAAGCGAAACGAAATATTTGTTACTGACAAAAAATAAATTAGACGGATATTAAATGGATCATAAATTTCGACGTTTGTAAGATAGTGGAACTGATGAAAAAGAGCCGCACTTCTCTTTTATCAGAAACCAATATAGTACGAAAGAAATAAAGGTAGATCTGTATATGCTTGATATCAGAAGCATAAGATCCATTATATATAGATGATATCAAATATAGCAATTATACCGCAAGAACTATGTTGCAGAAGTTGCAAGGGATGTAACAAAGTTGCTCGGTCGCGGAAGCCATTATCGATCGGAGAAATCGGACCAAATAAGTTGTTTGTGTTGAGGAATAGATAGAAGACGAGATCAATTATATAGGTGAAAAGCTTCTCTCTCTCTCTCTCTCTCTCTCTACACGAACAGACACTTGCCTTAATAACGGGTTTTGTGTACTTGAACAGTACTCCTGAAAATGTAATTCAATAAATAGGAAAGATAATAAGCCTAAGGAGAGGATGAGAGTTAAAGGGGAAAAATTATTATATGCAATGTGAAGAATTTGGGAATTTCGATGTAGGGTTGTGTTCTTTGTCTTTTAACGAGTAGGGTCCGCTTCAGTCATGGGGTTGCGTAGCATTAAAATAAAATTTCTAAACTAAACACTGGGATGTACTATATCTGTGATTAATCAGATGTTATCGCAGTTAATTACTACAAAACGGGGACCCTTTAGTTATTGGTTGGCTAAATTAGTTAGTGCGGTGATCGTTTATACATTATTATTACTTTATTTTTGTGGCAACTTATCAATATTTATTTATTTTTACTTTTTTGAACATTAATATTTATTTTATTTTTGAGAAACATCTAAATAGGGGTTATTAGTTTTTGTATTTTGGTGGATTTAGAAATCTTCTTTGGATTTAATAAATTTATTGATTTAAAAATCAGCAAAATGAAAAAAAATCAAATCCATTCAAATACCAAGGTTAGATCTTGTATTTGAGTTTTTGTATTTTATTCATGGAAATCCTTTCAAATCTATTCAAATTCATTTAAAACTCAAATTTTTATAATATTTAGATTTTAAAATGATAGAACCAATAACACTGTATTTCATTATGAATTTTAAAATCATAGAACCAATAACACTGTATTTCAATATATATTTTAAAATACAAGAACCAATAACACTGAATTTAGTTTGGATTCTCAAATCCATTAAAATACAAGAACCAATAACACTAAGACTCTTGAAATCTATAGTCTTTTTAGGTCAAAATCAGCTCGTAATAATTTCATCCTTCCCAAGCAATTACCTTCTTTCAGTAGTACTCCTTTCTAGTTTACCAATAGTTAATTATTATTTGAAAAGTATAAGGATTTTAATTCTTTATTCCCTTAAACTATACTCTTAAAACTAAGCTTTTCTTAGAAAAATATTTACATTAATCTCGTTCAAGCAAAAGTAATAACTAAACTTGAAATTCTAATCTCTCTTCATTGTCATATGTCTTTGATATATAGTTTGATACAAGTGCTCATACGCAGCTTTTTTATGTCAAACAAAAATATTTGTTTAAATCATAATATAATTCAAAATGACCAGGACATGTAGTATTGTAGTTTGTGTTATTGTTATTATTTTGTCACCACCATATCAAAATCCGCAACCGTTTGTAGCAGTCCATCTTCGCTTCGACATCAACAATCTTGAGCTCGAGATTATGAATGCCCTGCTCATACGCCATAAAAGCTCTTATCTGCTTAATATGAGGGTTATATAACTCGCGAGCATCGATACATCAAGTCGACAACGTGATCAATAGACTTATGACCCTGCACTCGAAATTCCTTCTTGACGGCAGACAACTTTTTGATCTCTGACTTCTTCTCCAAACTTTCTCTGTGGAGCTGCTTTTCTTTGACAGATTCGATTTTAAGAGCCTGACACTTAAGCTCCAAATCAATCTTTTCGCGCTCTAGCTCTTTGATCCTCGTCGATGCGTTACGAAGCTCTCGATCTTTGTTTATTAACTCCTCAGCTCTATTCTCCTCCCGTGAGAATTCTTGATCATATGACTCGATTAGGGATGCGCATAAACCCAAACCCTGCACGAAACGTTAAGCCATTCCACAGAAACCTGCGAACCGCTTCAGTTTTTCCACCGACATCCCTTGATTCGGTTTCACCCTGCACTGCCAGAATAAATTCGATGGAAAATATTCATCGAACATCGCTGGGGAGTCTCCGTTCTAGCGAACCAACAATTGGTGGGGATTAAAATTCGGATCCTCGTCAACACCCTCTAGGTCCTGCGGCGAGCTGCTCGTAAGACTTGGTGAATTAGTTTCCTGCTCCTCCGCCATCGCAAAAATGGAGTCTTGCTCCTCGATTGGCGACGCGACCTCTGGGTCCTCCGTTGAGATCTTTGGAGGAGAAGATCCCGCGTCCGTGACAGCAACATCAGGCTTATCCGACATGATATCTTCGGCAACGATTGGATTTTGAGACGGAGCCCTGGATCTAGGGTTTTCGTTCGGAGAGAAGTCAGGGATGTCAATATCAAATGAAGTAATCTTATCTCTCTTCCTTAATCCCATCCTTCCAGAGAGATCGATCAGGATCTGAAATCAAAAAGAAAAGGCAGATGAACAAAGAAGATTATCGCGGAGAAGAAACTGAGGAAAACAAAACCCTTGGGAGCAAGAAGATGAAGATGAAGAAATAAATTCTTGATAATAAAATCAAAATAAGTATCAACAGTTCCTTTAAATGACGCGTGTCGAGATTCGCACAATCTCACCATCTGAAAAACCTTAGGCTTTTTCGCTTGAAGTAAAACTATAATGGGTTGAATATTTAAAAAAATTATTTAAGGAAGGCGCCACGTGTCAATTCCACTTAAAACGGACCGAGCTGGCCATCGCGGAGAAACGCTCTCGTCGAGCTGATGCTTATTGCGAGATCAAACCCACTTAACTTCATGAAGTCCGCCGAGCTGATTTACAATCAGTCTTGTCGAACTGGGGGGGGGGGGGGGGGGGGTTTATTGTTAGAGGAAAAATGAGCACATTTCCTAAAAAGCTTTCTCTAGCAATAACGTAAGCCCATCAAGACCAGGAAGACTGCGCCGACGTACCTCTAAAAAGGAAAAGCTCGAAGATAAGCTTGAAACTCCTAAAAGTCGGATCAGCTCAAAGGAATATTGAAGGATAAAGGAGAATTTCCATATTCTTCAGATAATAAGAGATATTTCCATATCGCAAATACGGAAATATTCACCAAAGGAAAAATGGAAAAGGAGCTCGGAGCAACCGACCTCCTATTCCTATAAATAAGGAGACCTCGACGCACAAGAAGAACAACTCATACAATCTAGAGAGCAGTAGAGCTAAAATCAAGAACTCCAAGCTTTCTAATTTACCATCGCAAACACTTCTTTTCATTTCGGCATAACCTCTCGGTTATACCAAACTTGTAATCGCTTCATCTTTTCAAGCTATTAATAAAGATCTTATTTTCTGAAACTCACAACTTTAATTAAATCCTTCTTGGTGATTTTCTTGTTCAACACTTATCTAATACTAGGTAATCGGCCCGCACCGTGTGCAGGCTATAATATATTATATATATTAAATATTTGATTAATATTATATATTACATATGTTTTATTTATATATGATTAATTATGTATTAATAATAATATTATATAAATATTTAGCAATTAAAAATAACAATAAATCAATTGAAAAATAGTATAGATTTTAAAAGAATTGATGAGAAAAAACATTAACCCAAATTTTTAAAATAGTTCATTAGATAAAAAGTGTAAATATGATAATTAAATAAACTAAAAACATTAAAATATATAATAATTTGTTTAATTTTTATGGTTGACTGTACGCATGTGCAAATATAATTTTTTATAGACATAATGGTTGACCGCACGTATGTGCAAATATAATTTTTATAGAAATAATTAGTTGTAATATTTAAGTATTGATTAATTTTTTGTATATATGAAAGCGTTATGTTTATATATATATATATGTACAGTTTTACCGTTTAACGACAATCACACTAACATTTCATATCATTTTGTGTCTTTGAAAAACTTGTTAAGTAAGTGTTATGTTTTTATACGTATCCAGTTTTATTGTTTAACAACAATCACACAAATATTTTATATCATTTTGTGTCTTTTGAATTTTTTTTATTTTTTAATAAAAACTAATAACTAAAATTAAAAATAGATTATAATTAAGGTTAAGAAAATGTTTGCACGATAAGTTAGCATGCGATTTTGATTTTTCAACAATTAATATTTATATCTACATGCATATTTATGAAAAAAATCAAAGTATGGCTTTTATGTGTTAAAAGAAAATAATAAAATATATGTTTTGTAATATATATTTTTATAATATTTAATTGATTTTTTATAAAAGAATATGTATATTTATACATGTAAGTATGAGTTATAAATAAGTGAATTGTAATATTTATGTGTTGGTTAGTTTTTCTAGTATTTTCTGCAACGTTATGATTTTTCACTATACAGTTTTTTGGCGTTTAACAAGAATCACGAAAACTGTTTCTATCGTTTTGTATTTAATCAAAATTTCTTATTTTTAGCATTATATGATATATGGTTTGTCAATCAAAATTATAATAAAAATTTATTTATTTATAAAATTCAAAGTTATATGTGTTAATCTTATATATAGTAGATCATAACATATACAAAACTTGATTCATAAAATAATATTTTAAGATGTTAAAAAATATATGCATGAAATAATTTATATATGTAAGATAATATTTTTAAATATTTCAAAATAAAACATAAAATCAATCAAATTTTTTTTTTTTGTTTTCTTTGACTCATATTTTTTTTCTTAATCTTGAATAATATATTAAACATTAAGATCATCTCCAATGTATTTTTCTATTTTTCCGTCTAAAATATACGTGGATTTCTCTCCAACCTATTTTTATTTTAATGGAAAAAGAAATATTGCTATTTTTTCCTCTAATTATAGAAGAAAATATAACACCCCTATTTTTTTTCTAAATTAGAAGAGTTAAAATAAAGGTGGGTTAGAGATGCTTTAAACCAAAGACATAGGATGAGATTTTTACAGAAAATTAAAGTCGTAAAGATTTATTTTTATTATTATTCATATGTTTATTTATATCAAATAAAATTAATAATAAATATTCGTTATAAAATTTGTGATTTATAAAATTCTCTGGTTGCTCTCTGCCCATCTTTGTGTCTAATATTGAAAAATTGGTTT